TTTTTAGACATGGGACCGGCAAAAAAATGGTACGAAAATTGATAGTATGTTAACAGTTCTAAACTGAATCACTTATGATCAAAGCTTTATTGATTGCATTATATGCCTCCGCCAGCTTTACTGCGTATGCAGGAGGCAAAGATAAGCCGGTGGACCTTACCGGCAATTGGAAGGAAATACAAAGAATGACCAAGGACAAAGCGGTCATGGCCTATACAGATACCATTCGTATCGACTTCCTGGTTGGGAATGAGTTTGTCTGGCAAAAGGCAGGCAGCTTCCTCTTCAAAGGCACCTATAAGGCCACCCCCACAAGCCTGGATCTTGGCTCACGATACTTTACTATTGTTTCATCCGCTGCCAAACGGCTCTTATTACAAGATGAACAAGGCTTTTACGAATTACTAAAGTATAACAAACAGGAAGCGGCCACCGATAATAGCGCCGCCAATAATTCGGCCAGAAGCAACCAGGCAACCAGCGGTGATATTGACATTGCAGCTTTTGAAGGCAACTGGGAAACCTATAAACGCACCAGCAAAGTACAGCAGCAAAACATTGATTACAGTTTTATACCCAAGCGGGTAAACCTCCAGGTAAATAAGAAGCGGGTAACCGGTGAACTTCATGCAGCCCAGGAAACCAATGGTCATGCCGGCTGGAAACTGGTGAATTATGAAAATGGCTACCTGAACTTCTCCGGCACAAGTGACCGGAAGCTGAAAGTGCTGAAATGCGCCGGCAATGAGCTGATCCTCGAAGAAGATAATTATGTTTATTTCCTGAAGAAATTCGGCTAGTCGATGCGCAGCACATAATAGGGCGTGGTAGCCTGGTCCCGGGTTTTCAGGTTCAGAAAATCGGGGGTCAGTTCACTGACTTTAAAGAAGCGTCCCTGCTGCTGTACTTTAAAGGATTTGTTTTCCATTTTCAGCTGCACCAAACCGGTATCAGTCGTTAATACATAATGGCCGGATGGCAGGTCGTGCGGCATATCATTAAACCGGGGATTGATCTGACCGGCATAAAAATCGAGACAACTCAGCGGATCATTAATCGCCGCTGTGGTAAACTTATCGGGCGTTATTTGCTGCCGGTTAATATA